TCGGGCAGCGGAGACGGCGCTGGGGTGCGTGGGGAGCTGCTCGCTGGGGCAAGGTTGGGATTTGGGCGAGGAGCTGACAGGAGGGGTGCCGTGGGTAGAGCAGCGGGCGCAGAAGATGAAGAGAAAGAAAGAGAGGATGGAGGGGGAAATGGGGCTTGTGTTTTTTGGTACAGCGACTTGAAAGATCGGATAGGGACCGCTGCACCGGGCGAGTCCAAGCTGAGCGAACTGGCGGGCGCTCGGCGGGCCGGGGACCGAGGGTGCTGTCCATATCCGTGGTGCTGAAAATACTACAGGAGATGGTCTTTTCATCCTCCTCTGGTGCCAGCGTGGCAGGAGAGCTCAGCTATCTAAAAGGGGAGCGAGGTGACAAATTCAGAGATATTTTTATTTTGCTATCAATTTAACAGTAAACTCTGCTGGTCTAGCTGTGAGCCTCAATAATCTGGTTGTGTGAGTGACAATGTGGGGAGTGGGGGGAAGGGGGTAGTTTGGATGTTTGAAGGAAGGACTGATAAAACCTAAGGCAAGAATTAGCAGGGAACCAGCCATCCCCTGGGTGGAGTGGGAATCTTGGAAACCTGGATAGTCCCCTTCCTGGAAAAACGGGGCTTTGGGGGAAAATGTATTTGTGCAAGACATTCATTTTTAAGAGTGTACCCTAATTTATCCCAAACTCACCATGCAGAGAGCCTTATAGTAGATCATTTCTCCCTTGAAGCAAGCATTACTAGTCAGTGCTTGAGGAAAGAGGAGACAGAATAATCAAAGAATTAAAACCTAGCAACTTTTAAGAAAGTGGTCATAGGAATTGTCTGCAGCCTGCCTGTTTTTTCCTTGTTTTATTATCTTTGAGGCAGAGCCCCAAACGTGTTCAGTTGTAGAATGTGTGTGGGTGGCTGGTAGGTGACGAAATTAGCCCAGTGCTCCGCTCCCTAACAGTAATGTATAGGATGTGCAGCGGGATTAATCGGTGCTGGAGCTGTGTGGGCAAGTTAAATGCTTTCTGAGAGAGATTGATCGCCAGGCAGGGAAGGAGCGGGGATAAGGAAGTTGTAGGGGATGTGTATGGACGTTCCGTTTTTACTAAACAGTAGTGTGGGGAGCCACTGAAGATGCTGTGTTAGAGCTGGTGGTTTTAAAGATGAAAACACACACATGTACACCTACCCCCACATAAAGAGAACAGCCTCATTCTTGGCCACAAATGGGCTATGAACAGAGCTGATCCTCCAGTACATTAGGTGCAGAGCTCAGAGCTATGTGGCTCCCTGAGCAGCAGTGGTTTTCACTACCACAACTACCCTCCTTCTCTAGCCCTCCCTTCATCCGAATACTAAACAGAGCTCCAAACTCTTCATAGTTGGAGTCCCAGAGAGCAGTTTTTATTGGCTTTAGCATCTTCCAGCTTGCCTGCTGAGAAGTAAATCTTAAAGTTAATGGCATGTTGAGTAGCACAAAAATACAGCACAATGGAAATATACTGGATTTGTTGGGGTGGGGTAAGGGTGGGGGCTGTAATGGAGAGTGAAACCAACCTTTATCCAACATGGAGAAAATGTCTGTCTGTTCAGTAAAGAGATTGAAAAGGTGAAATGGGGAGGCAGTCTTTGAAATAATATTTGAAGGGAAGAAACACTTTATTTCCCCCTCCCTCTCCGCCGTGTCTTTGTAGATTTTCCCTTCCCAATCAAGCTTCCTAGAAGCTAATCAAGGCTTGTTGAAACCTTTGTCATTTTGATAGTTCCCTGGTTTTAAAAATAGTAAAATAAAAATTTTAATAGCATAGGTAGGAATGGTTTTTGCCTACCTATGATCAGTTTTTGTGGTAATTCAAGATTTCAAAGTTTAAAAAATCAGAACCCACTAGAAGCAAAAGATAGCTGTGGGGAGCTGGGCATCCTATAAGATCTGGATTGGAGCACTTTATTTACTTCTTTATTTCAAGTGAAGATAAACTTTAGCAATATTCCTTGGATTCTTCTCAATAGTTCCTTGCTGATATCATCACTTTGTTTCTAATGTAATTTGCTATGACTTGTATTCTAAGAAGTAGAATTTTAATCATTTGTATCAGGGAGAGAGAAAAAATATATACATATATAGAATTCCTAAGAAGGTAAAACTTCATTTTCCAAATAATTCTCCTTCCAAACTGTCTCAGTCAGTGACAGGCAGGGCCCATTGGCTCCAGCATCCTGGCTGCTGGTTGTCGCAGCTCACCCTTCAGAGCTTGAGCATATATTTTTCCTTAAAACTTCCTGCCTCTCCATCCTTCTGGTTTTAGAGTCCAGGTTGGCCACAGTGTCTCTAACCATGCCTGGAAGCTCCCAGATAGCAGAATAAATGAGACTATTTCCAAGGGCTGGTTTATTCAGTCCTAGTAGAGTTTGAGCTCCTCCTTCCGTGATGCAGTCTGACTTATTAGCTAATCCTGATAAAATAAGCCTCTGGCCACCTTAAAAAAATTACTTACTTGCCATTGGTGATTAATTGCTGTTAAGTCAAAAAGCATGATAAGGCCGAAAGAATTAGGGTTGCATTTAGCTTCTAGATTTTCCCCATCTCTAAATTGACAACATGAGGCTAGGGATAGAATCACGCCTTTGTTAAGCCTGGTTTCAGGGCATATTTGTGGCTCTTGCCTTCCCCTTTCTGAATTATTTTAATGAATAATACTGGGGTAAAATTGAGACACATAAGCAAATACTGGCCCCCAGCATAGATTACATGTGTATGTTACTGGTCTGTAAAGCAGTAAAAAGTAAATGAAATGCACAAGATTTCAGGTGGATATCCATTTGCTGGCCACCTGCCATTTCAGGTAACTAAAGAAAGAAGGAGTTCTAAGGGTTAACAGAATACCTGCCATGTGTAGAGTGCACCTTAAAAGGCAATTACTCCAGTCAAATTGGGAGTCTGTGGAGGAGGGAGTGGGTAGGTGTTGTGGAGCAAACCCAGCCATATCCGAGAAGGGGTGTTGGGCTGGGAAGCAGCAAATAGCAGCTGTGGACTGGGGTGATTACTATAAAGGTAAATTTACCCCCCAGAGACCAGCAAGCAATTGGAGGGAGGAGGGTCTAGGAGTTAGGCAGAGAGAAAAGAAGAAAAAAAAACTGAATCAAAATTCAAAGAAACAACACCCAAGGAAGAAACCTCAGTGCAATGCAAACTCTCTGGCTAACTTAGAGTATTTTTTTCCTACCCCCATTTGAAGCACTTTGGGAAATACTGTTTTTCCAGGCTCCAAAGAGAACAATATTGTACTATTGATTAAAGAAGAGAGAGGCTAATTCCCGGGGTAGTAGCAGAACTGAGCTAAGGACCAATTTTGACCCTTCTTGTGGAATTTTTCTTCCTTGGAGAAGGGAACAGGTCACCTACTAGTCTACTTCCTCTCTTCTCTCATTTTTTTAGTTATTTTTATTTTCTTTTTTTTCCCCCCTTGGAGAACAAACAGAGGCAATGACCAAAGACACATATACTCACTCATGCCTACACACACTCACACACACACACACACACACACACACAGTGGATCACACATGAATAAGCCAGCAATCCATTCATAACTTTGGTCCTGTCTAGCAGGATAGGAAGCGGCAAAGACTGAGTTACTGGGAGACATAAAGACTACTGCTCTCTGGATAGCCATATTATAATGCATTATCTTTGAAGTCATTTAAGTCCAATTTAAGTGGTATTTAGTATAATATTTATGAATTAATGTAATCTAAACATAGGGCTGTCCCCAAAGGTTTAAACAGCCTTTACTACTGATGTGTGCTTGTTCCTGGAGCCTGCGATGCATTTTAATCTAAACAGCTAAGTCCCCATCATAGTCCCTCTTGTTATCCAGTCAGAACAGATCTGTGCCTAGATAGCTACTCTGCTTTGAGATTTTTCCCCACTGCATAGAGGGAAATTTATTCTACTGATAGGCTGGGGGGCTCCCAACCCAGAAGTCACAGCTACAAGAAAGCCAGCCCCTCATACTTTTACTCTACATCCAGAAGGAGGGTGGGGACAGAGTAATGAACCCTTCTGTGATTTAGCTCTGGAGAAGAGTGTATCATTTTAAAATATACTCACCATCAGCTCCATAATCTCTCATTTCAACTGTACCTGAATAGAAAATGCCTAAAACCTCTTGATTTGGGGTGTAACTGGGAGAAAGAAAGACAAGGCTTATGATTATGTTTTTTGATTTGTGGCCATCTTCATAAAATTATGTTATGTTTGCATTTAAGAAACGACAATTTTCAGAACATTGAATTTCCACCTCATGACTTAGCTGAGATGGCTTATTTTTCCCCCTCTGTAGATAGGTGAATTAAAACTGTGAGGCTCTATCTGATTTCTGTTTTCAAATGAGTCAAAGAGAGTGAAGCTGAAGTATCAGCATGGGCATCAGCTCAATTAAGATGAACTCTTTTTAATTACTTTGAAAACTAAAAAGTCGGTTCTGTCCAGGGAAAGAGACTAGCTGAATGGTTACACACCTATAGTTTTTTTAAAGACAGACTTACCTTGTCAGAGATAGGAAAAATAGAATAACCAGAATAAGGATACAAGAAAAACACTTTAAAAAATAAGTTTCACCCAAAAATGAGTACCAATATTCATCATAAGACTAAATGTATCAAAGTAATAGCCACCATTATAAAACCTCCAAATTCCAAGTGATGATGTGTCCTATTTAAAAGGATAGAAAAAAAGGTATCGAGAAATGATTTATTTATTTAAGAAGCTAGTGGTTACTCACTACTTGTGCACAATTTTACTTATCTTTAAAACAAAGTTTCTCGGAATCAGCACACACAGGTAAATTACTACTCACATATTCACGTACATGCATCCATGTGTAAGCATGACTAAGCACATCCCACACACATGAAAACCAAGCCTGGCCTAGATTTTACTGCAGTTCAACAAAAGGATGTTAACATTCTCAACTCGCTCCCATTGGCTCTAATGGGAATTGTGGATTGGGTTGAAAGAAGCCCCTTGGCATAATTTTACTCCCTGTATGACCTGTTCTAGATGGCTAGATGTTAGTGCTTCTCAGACACAAAACAAAGCAAAACCAAAAGCTTTTCCTGAATAAAGTCCTGATTCAAAAATTACTCAAAGAAAACAATTACAAAAATGCACACTATAGATATGACCTCTACACCATGATACCACACAGTTCTCAGAATTATTTCAAAGAATGAATTTACAGGGGCATTTCTGATGCCCAGTGATCTCTACACACTCCAGCAGTTTAAGCATGAAATGTCCAATACTATTATTAGCATCAACATTCTCCTTCTTGTAACTCATATACCATATGGGAGCAGGGTTTCTGAGTGGTGCCAGAGAAG